AACCGCAGGCCCGGCAGCTCTGGGGCAAGGTATTGGCCTGAAGAGGAGCCTGTTGCCTCAGCTGTGGGGAAGTCAGCGTGGGAACAGTGGGGTGCACGTCCCCTCTTCTCCTCCACCTCCCTTTACTCATCACCCCTCCGTCCTCTTCCCACAGATCCTCAGCCACAGAAAGCCACCCTCAAGTCTGGGGGTGACCCCAGCTCCTGTGCCCACCTCTTTGGGTCTGCCCCCTGGCCCCTCCAGCTACCTGCTTCCTGGCAGCCTCCCTCTGGGGGGCTGTGGTTCAACTCCCCCCACCCCCACCGGGCTGGCTGCCACGTCTGACAAGAGAGAGGGCAGCAGCAGCTCTGAGGGCCGTGGGGACACAGATAAGGTGAGCTGGCCTGGGGAGAGGTGGGGCAGTGGTGACAGTTCTGTAGAGAATATGGACAGGAACTGAGATGCAGGGGCCCAAGGAGAAAGGGAGACTGAGGCCATAGAAACCAAAGTCGTGGAACTGTAAGGAACTCCACTTCGCTGGAATGGATGAGCGGGAACTTCGCTGGGCATGTCCAAGGGAAAATCACGTCTGTGCGTGTGTGGGGGTGTGTGCATATACCCCACATATACACACCCTGTAACAGACAGCCCCACACTGCAGCCCACCCCTTGATGATGTGTTTTTCACGCTGTCTCCCTCTCAGTGTGAGTGGGGGAGGCTGGTTTCTGAATAAAAACTCAAGAACTTGTTTCTAGTTGAAGGGAGGGAGAATGGGTGCCAGGCAGACAGTAATGTAGGTTCTTACTCAGCTGCTCTGGCCGGCTCTTACTCCTGGGCTCTGGGGCTGTTTCTGTCTTGGTCAGGTCTAGATGTGGGTTTTTTGTTTTTGTTTTTTCTTTGAGATGGGGTCTCGCTCTGTCACCCAGTCTGGAGTGCAGTGGTGCCATCTCGGCTCACTGCAGCCTCCGCCTCCCGGGTTTGAGCGATTCTCCTGCCTCAGCCTCCCGAGTAGCTGGGATGACAGGCACACACCACCACACCCGGCTAATATTTGTATTTTTAGTAGAGATGGGGTTTCACCATGTTGGCCAGGCTGGTCTTGACTCCTGACCTCAGATGATCTGCCCACCTCGGCCTCCCAAAGTGCTGGGATTACAGGCGTGAGCCACTGCTCCCGGCCTTGGTTGGTTTGTTTTGAGACAGGGTCTCACTCTGTCACCCAGGCTGGCATGCAGTGGCACAGCCACAGCCTCAGCCTTGATCTCTCGGGCTCAAGGGATCCTCCTACCTCAACATCCTGTGTAGCTAGGACTACAGGTGCGCGCCACCATGCCCAGCTAATTTCTTAATTTTTTTGTAGAGTTGGGGGTCTCGCTGTGTTACCCAGGCTGGTCTTGAACTCCTGAGCTCATGTGATTCTCCCACCTCAGCCTCCTAAAGTGCTGGGATTACAGGTGTGAGCCACTGAGCCCAGCCTAGATGTGTTTTTTTACAGTCCAGCAGCCCATAGCCAGACGGTGGTGTTGGCCACTTTACACAGCTGTGTACAGTGCCAGATAAAGCTGTATAAACCCCATTAAACATCCCGTGTGAGCCGCGGAGGCGGGGCTGCAGCTTAGCCCATCACTTGTCTGTAGCTTGTGCCTTGTGCTACAGGTCGCGGACGGTGAGGACCCCCTGGTCTACAGCGGCCCTTTGCCCTGCTTTACCACATCCGAGATGGGTGTTTGGGAGCAGCGTCTCTCTAGAGACCCACATCCTGTGGGGCCAGGCAAGCCTGAGAAGTCCCTCCAGGGCGGCCTGTGTCTCTCCTGGCCATAGAGTTGCCCTAACAGCTCAGTAGCTCGTCAGACAGTGTCACTGATGTTGCTTCCAGAGTCTGCTAGCCATTGTGCCCTGCCATTTCCAGGACTCAGGTTTACCTGCCCCTACTTTGATAGTCACCTGACTTGGGAGGGCAGTTTCCCCAAGGGCGGTGGCAAGGGACTATCCCTTGTGCCTGCAGAAGGCCGGTTCTTCTCTGGTCCCATGTGGCTCTCTGGCTAGAGGTTTCCTGTCTGCTTTTGCAAAGATTCCGCCTGAGGCCAGGGATGCAACTGCTGCCCCGAGCCTGTGGCTGGGGGATCTCCTCGCTTGTTGGCCACAGGCGGGAAGAGCCTTGTCTCGGAGGCTCTTTGCCCTGCCCACTGTTCTGTCCTTCCCCTTCCGTCCCACGGCCATCCCCCTTGGAACAGGCACAGCTGCCCTGGATTGAGGCTTTGCTCTGTACCTGGCCTGTGCCATGTCCTTCATGTGTGTCACTGTAGTCCTCCCCATAGGTGCTGTCCGCATTTTATAAATAAGCCACAAAGGTGGCCAGGCGCGGTGGCTCGTGCCTGTAATTCCAACACTTTGCAAGGCCGAGGCGGGTGGATCGCTGTAGCCCAGGAGTTCAAGATCCGCTTGGGCAACATAGTAAGACCGTCGCCAGAAAAAGTACAAGAATTAGTCGGGCGTGGTGGTGGCACCTCTAGTCCCAGCTACTCAGGAGGCTGAGGTGGGAAGATTGCTTCAGCCCAGGAGTCCAGGGGTACAGTGAGCAGTGACTGTGTCACTGCACTACAGCCTGTGTGACAGGGAGAGACCCTATCTCAAAAATAAAGAAAAAGCCACAAAAAGGAGGTTTGGCTGAGCATCCCAGGGGTCAGAGACAGGGAGTGGCAGACCAGGCTTCCGATACAAATGGGCTTGAGGTCAGTCCCCACCCCCACTCCTCAGTGCGCCTCCATCCCCTTGGTGACCAGAGCAGTATTGTAAAAACCTTTTAAACTGAGTCCTCCCCCTTCCCACGGTGAAAAGCCCTGTGCAGCTTTCTACAGCCCTGTCTGTAGAGTCTGATTCAAAACCAGCTGCAATTGCTTGGCCAATGCCTGTCTTCTCATCAGACCGAACTTTGTGAGGGCAGGCAACGCATGTCTCCTGGTCCTGGCCAGGCCTGGAGCAGCCCAGGGTTCAGCCTAGAGGAGATGTTCAGTGACATGCAGAGCACAGGCCTGGCCTTTGGTCCCAGGCACCTGCAGCAGAGGGTGCATGGGACAGACCCTCAGCAGGACTTCCAGCCTGAGAGCAGCCAGACTGTCCGAGAGGCTAGGCTGGCAGCAGAGGCGAGTGGAGGTGGAGGTTCTGCAGGTACTCACTGGCCCTTGCTGTCTCTTCCCCCGCTGTCGCCACCCCACCAGTATCTGAAGAAGCTGCACACACAGGAGCGGGCGGTGGAGGAGGTGAAGCTGGCCATCAAGCCATACTATCAGAAGAAGGACATCACCAAGGAGGAGTACAAGGACATCCTGAGGAAGGCCGTCCACAAGGTGGGCACCCAGAGAGAGGGGCAGACACAGGCCGGGGAGAGGACGAACTGGAGGGCCAGATGTGTACAGACAGATGGACGCGGATGGGAGACGGGGAGGTCAGTCTGGGAGGGTGATGGGATTTTCTCAAGGCCACCTGGGCTTGTTCCGCTGGCCCTGGGGTACCCATCATCTAGGGGGACAGAGGAACTTTGGCCTGGTTATTGGGGAAGCTGCTCCTACCCCAGTCCCAAGCTGCACCCAGCAGTCCCGGGTGGATGGGACCCCGGGAGCCTGGTGGTGACTCCGGCTGTCCCCGGCCCCCCAGATCTGCCACAGCAAAAGTGGGGAGATCAACCCGGTGAAGGTGAGCAACCTGGTGCGGGCCTACGTCCAGCGCTACCGCTACTTCCGCAAGCACGGTCGCAAGCCAGGGGACCCCCCAGGGCCCCCACGGCCGCCCAAGGAGCCAGGGCCCCCGGACAAGGGTGGCCCGGGCCTGCCCCTGCCCCCTCTCTGAGAGCCCTGGCCAGCTCTTCGCCCCTCGCCTCTTTGAAATTCTGGACATATTTATGGCTCCACCTCCCCACCTCCCTCCCCCATCAGTGGGATGATTGGGGGAGGGTTGCTGCAGGGAAGAGGAGAGAGCCCCCTGCCCTTCCCTGCCCCGTGCCCACCCGCCTTGCCCCCAAGCCTGTCCCCAGTGCCCCTCCCTTCTGTTCGTGCCCCTCTCCCCAATTTCATTAAAGATTTCATGAAACATTACCCCTGAGCCCCATGGTTCTAACCCTTTGTTTTCAGAGACAAATTTGCCAGAGGGTTGAGGAGGGGCCCCTAGGAGGCTGAGGGTGGGAGAAAAGGGAGCCAGACTGTGACTTGGGGCAGCTGCCTCCCCTGAGCCTCAGTTTTCTCATCTGTATAGTGGTGTTGTGAGGATTGAACAAGACACCGGTGGAGCACTTAGCACAGTCTCTGGCAGGGAGCCAGCTGCTCACAGGGAGGCGGGGCCGGCCCCCACCTGATCAGCATCCTCCCAGCTCAGGGCACCTGCGTGCCATGTGCCTGCCTTGGAATTGCTCCCAGAGCAGGATCTGTGTTCCCCATTGAGTTGGCTTTTCTTTTCAGCAGCCCTGTGAAGCTGGGGTGATCTCATCCACTCTCCCGAGAGGGAAACTGAGGCACAGAGCAGCAAGGGCCGAAGGGTGAGTCAGGGCTGCACTGGCTTCTGCCAGTTTCATCACCCAGAACTGAGGCCTAGCCAGGAGAGGTGACAGTGCCCAGGGTCACCAGGCAGGCAGGCTTTGCAGGCTCTAGGGTGGCTGCAGAGCCTCTTTACCAAGGCCCCCTCCAGCCCCATGTAGAGGGAGCCTGAGCCTGGAAGGAGAAGGGCCGTTTGCCCACACTGTTCATAGGCAAGGCAGGGACCTGGGTTCTGGCCAGTCTTTGTGTTTCCTACCCTGTGACCTTTGTGCCTCTCCCAGCCTGTGTCTTGGTCTACAAAATGGGGGCAGCCATCAGCCACCAGGTCCCTGGGCAGAGGTGAGGAAGTGTCAGCTGCCCCCTGCAGTGCTTGGTCCTCATGCATTGAGCACCTGAGTTGTGCATAGCTGCACAGATGGGTAAACTGAGACCCTGAGCAGGAATAACAACCAGCTTGGGTCAGAGGACACCCAACACCAGACACACACAAGAGGTGATCATAGCAGGAACCAGTTTATTGGTTGAGGTGGTGGGGGGTGGGGAGGTTAGAGGCCACACCATGAGGAGCGAGGGCTCAGGTCTCCCCAGGGCCCTGGAAATCCATATCCTCCACCAGGTCCTGCAGGTAGGCCTTGTACTGGTCAGAGGTGAGGGACAGTGGGTGGCTGTTGGAAATGTGCAGGTCCACAGTGTTCTCCAGGGAGGAGGCACCCCCTACCCGGGCGATTTCTACCAAGGCCCTGAGGCACGTGGGCACAACCTGCGGGGGAAGTGGGGACAGGAGTCAGGGAAAACACCCGGCCAGTGTCCACCAAGGTAGGAGTCAGGGCTGGGAGAACTACAAGTCCCTGCAGCCCCCGCTGTAACCCAGGATGAAACACACACACACACACACACACACACACCCACCCACCCACCCACCCACCCACCCACCCCCTTCCTGGGACAGGAGTCAGGGAAAACACCCGGCCAGTGTCCACCAAGGTAGGAGTCAGGGCTGGGAGAACTACAAGTCCCTGCAGCCCCCGCTGTAACCCAGGATGAAACACACACACACACACAGGGCTGGGAGAACTACAAGTCCCTGCAGCCCCCGCTGTAACCCAGGATGAAACACACACACACACACACACAGGGCTGGGAGAACTACAACTCCCTGCAGCCCCCGCTGTAACCCAGGATGAAACACACACACACACACACACACACACACACACACACACACACACACAGGGCTGGGAGAACTACAACTCCCTGCAGCCCCCGCTGTAACCCAGGATGAAACACACACACACACACACACACACACACACACACACACACACACACAGGGCTGGGAGAACTACAACTCCCTGCAGCCCCCGCTGTAACCCAGGATGAAACACACACACACACACACACACACACACACACTCTACAACTTCCTGCAGCCTCTGCTGTAACCCAGGATGAAACACACACACACACACACACACACACACACACACACACACACAACTTCCTGCAGCCTCTGCTATAACCCAGGATGAACCATAGGCCCAGGGCTGCTGGGAGTTGTAGATTTCCCTCTACACACACACACACACACACACACACACACACACTCATATGAGGCTAGAGTATTCCCAGATGTCAGGGCTGAGCAGTCTGTGATCTCAACTCGTGGGAGCCACAGCCATGGCCTCACAATGGCAGCTAAAACTTGAAGTCCACCAGCTTCGACATGGTTTAGAGCAGGGGTCCCCAACCCCCCACGGCCTGTTAGGAATCAGGTTGCCCAGCAGGATGTGAGCAGCGGGTGAGGGAATATTACTGCCTGAGCTCTGCCTGCTGTCAGATCAGCGGCAACATTAGATTCTCAGAGGAGCACGAACTCATCGTGAACTGCACACGCGAGGGATCTAGGCTGCTCCTTAGGAGAATCTAATGCCTGATGATCTGCAGTGGAGCAGTTTCATCCCCAAACCACCCCCTCCCTGTCTGTGGAAAAATTATCTTTCGTGAGACTGGTCCCTGGTGCCGAACAGCTTGGGGACCACTGGTTTAGAGAGTTCAAAGCAGGTTCTGCAGGTGAGGCCGTGGGAAGGAGCTCCCGGGGATGAAAAACTGGTTATTGCTGAGATCTTGGAAGTTGCAATCTTTTAGAGGGCCCTCTGGGAGTTGGAGTTCCTGGGAGCAACCTCTTCCCTCTGTAAGGCCACCCCTCTCAGCCCCAGGGACTCAGGTCTGCAGGCACCTTGACCATCACGAGCCTCTTGGTCCATGGCTGGTCCTGGGGCCATGATTCCCCCACACAGAACCAGAGGGCATAGCGTGGTGAGCGTCCACTTCCTTCTGTGAAGGTGATCAGATCTGGGGGCCCAGGAGTCTAGTCAGTGATGAGAAGAGGACCCTCTACACGCCCTTCCCCGTAAACTTGAATGGCAATCCCCACCATTTCCCCTGACCTAAGGCCCTCTGCTGCCTCGCCCAGAGGACTGCTTGTTTGGGGAAAGTCCCCATGATTCTGTTTGTATACTTCCTCCTCCTTCCCTCCCTCCCTCCCATCATGGTGGGGTTGTTGGAAGGTCCCCCACCCCCGCAAGCCCCCAAGCCTCAGCATTCACAACAGGCCCAGAGTAGGGGGCCCAGGCTTCCAAGGATGCCAGTGAATCTGGAGGAGAAGCTGGTTGGCATTCAGTCCCCTCTGAGGCCGCACTGTCCAACTGCAGCCATTAGTCATGTGAGGTCATTTCAGTTTAAATTGTAATCAATTAAAACGAATCGTAGGCCGGGCGCGGTGGCTCAAGCCTGTAATCCCAGCACTTTGGGAGGCTGAGACGGGCGGATCACGAGGTCAGGAGATCGAGACTATCCTGGCTAACACGGTGAAACCCCGTCTCTACTAAAAATACAAAAAACTAGCCGGGCGAGGTGGCGGGCGCCTGTAGTCTCAGCTACTTGGGAGGCTGAGGCGGGAGAATGGCGTGAACCCGGGAGGCGGAGCTTGCAGTGAGCTGAGATCACACCACTGCACTCCAGCCTGGGAGACACAGCGAGACTCCGTCTCAAAAAAAACAAACAAACAAAAAAAACGAATCGTGTCCTGGTGGCACTCGCCTCACCCAAGTGCTCGGCCCTTGTGGCTAGTGGCTGCTGTACCGGACAGTGCAGGTGACTGTCATTTCCATCATGGCAGAAAGTGCCACCGCACAGCGAAACCCTAAGGGACATAGCTTTCCTGCTATTGGTCTGTCCACCATCATTAGTTACGATAATGATGACAGCGGCAGCTAATTCCCCGAGCATGCTGTGTACTGGGCCTGTGTCTCACCCCAGTGCTGGCAGGCAGGTACAGAGAGGAGACCGTCCTCGGATTCCACGGGCTCAGGGCAAAGTCCTTTGCCTTGGGTTATACAGTGGGCCAAGGGCAGCCAGGGTCTGAATTCAGTCCTAATCCTGAGTTTTTGTTGTTGTTGTTTGAGACAGAGTCTGGCTCTGTCACCAGGCTAGAGTGTAGTGGTGCGATCTCGGCTCACTTTAACCTCTCCCTCCCTGGTTCAAGTGATTCTCCTGCCTCAGCCTCCCGAGTAGCTGGGATTACAGGCGTGTGCCACCATGCCCGACTATTTGTTTGTATCTTTAGTAGAGATGGGGTTTCACTATGTTGGCCAGGCTGGTCTCAAACTCCTGACCACGTCATCTGCCCGCCTCGGCCTCCCAAAGTGCTGGGACTACAGGCGTGAGCCACCGTGCCCGGCCAATCCTGAGTTCTTAACCACTGTGCAGTCTGCTTTCTACTGGGCAGGGCGAAGCCCCCATCTCACTCACCTACAATGAAGGGCCCCAGGTCGAACACGCCTCCTTCCTTGTCCTTGGGGACCTCGCCATCAGGCCCATGCCCGCTGTTGAGCAGCTCCTCGCTCACTGCCCAGTATGTGTGGCAGTGCCCCAGCCGCTGGGCCCAGAGCCGCTGCCCGGCCCGCCGCAGAGCCAGTCCCCCACCCAGGGAGCTCAGCACGTGCCTCACGTAGCTCATCACTCCCCTGTCTGTCAGGGACATGCCAGGGTCTGGCAGTGTGATTGGCCATCCAGGCAGCGTCCTGTCGCCCACTTCGGACCCCACCAGCCGCAGGCCCTCCGGGCAGGAGATGGTCTGCTGGAAGACTTGGCGGCCCCGGTAGAAGGCTGTCACCTCGAACTCCCACTCTGAGCAGTGGCAGCAGCCGTGTGAAGGGGAGAGAGATTGAGAATCAGGGGCTGCCGCCCAGACCTCAGCCCTCCCAGCCTGCAGCTGACACTCACCTTCCCCCGGCACCAACAGCCGCTTCAGTGGGTTCTCAGAGGGCTCCAGGTTTGGGAAGGGAGTGGGACTGTCCAAGCTGGGGCTCTGCAAGTGCTGAGGGGCTACAGCCAGGCTTGGGGGTCCTGGATCTGGCAGTGGGGCCAACACCATGTTACCCAGTAACTCATCCAGAATGTTTTCCTGGAGGGAAACAAAGAAAGAGAATCAGGCATTTCCATAGTCTTTTCTGGAGACTTCATATGGACCAGGTCTGTTCTCAGCAATGCAGGGAGGTCAGGCTTGAGCTCTGCCTTCAAGGGGCTTCCAGCATGGGGACAGAGCCAGCCATGGCATCAACAGCCAAACACTCTAATGAACGCCAGGTGCTACCATTCCAACCCAAGGACCTGGCTCTATGCAGGTAAGACCTGGGCGGGGCAGGCTGGGTAGAATTTCAGAGGGGATGCTCCCCCAGCTCAGGCCTCAGCAGGATCAAGGTGAGGGAGTTTTCAGTTCCCAAGAGGCTGACAGCCCCCTGCCGAAGTCCATGAAATCCTGGGAAGGTGTGCTAGGGCCTTGAATGCAGGGTGAAAACTCGGAATTTTCTCCTGAGGAGACTGGAGCAGGAACAGACAGGGCCACCACTGGCTCAGGTAAGGGGCAGGCTGGAGGCAGGGAAGCGGGGGGATGGTCCACAGGGAGAGGACAAGGCCCATGGGGACACGACAGAGACTGAGGGGCATGAAGGTTGGGCACATTCTCACCTGGGTATCAGAAGTACTGCCTCCGCCATTGGTGTCCGGAGAGTAGTCTGGCTGGGAAAAGTCCCCAACTCCTGTTGAGAAAGGTGGTGAGGGGAGTAGGGGTGCCAGGAACCCTTGGGACCCCAGCCTCCCACATGAACCCCGATCTGGCAGACCTGAGTTCACAAACTCGTAGATCTTATGTGGGTCGTGAGGGTCCTTGCTCCGGTCCTCTGCTAAACACACATCTTTGCGGTTGAGGGCAGAACGGAAATTCCTCTTCCAGGTTGGCAGGTCTGGCTTATCCCTCCCGGGAACGTACGCACCAGTGGCCTCGGCCCAGGCCTGGGGCAACAGTGGTGTCAGGATAGTGGGGGAGGACGACTTAGATCCTGCTCCTGGGGCCCTAACCCTGTCTCCTGGATCCTAACACCACCCTCTTTCCCTGGCAAGTTCTAAGTCTGCAAGTTCCATCCCCAAATCCCCCCGTCCTATCTACCTCCATCCCCCACCTCGAGTTTTTAAAAGCCTTTTTTTCTTTTTGAGATGGAGTTTCACTCTTGTCACCCAGGCTGGAATGCAATGGCGCAATCTCAGCTCACTGCAACTTCCGCCTCCCTGGTTCAAGCAATTCTCCTGTCTCAGCCTCCTGAGTAGCTGGCATTACAGGCGGGCACCACCGCACCTGGCTAAGTTTTGTATTTTTAGTAGATAATTTTGTATTTTCACCAATGATTTTGTATTTTCACCATGTTGGCCAGGCTGGTCTCAAACTCCTGACCTCAGGTGATAGCCCGCCTCGGCCTCCCAAAGTGCTGGGATTACAGGTGTGAACCACGGCGCCCGGCCCAAAAAACTCTTCTTTCTAAGCCAGGCTTCCAAGTCCAACTTGGTGTCTAACCCCGTGCACCACCTGCCCCGCGACACCCTCTGTGATAACCCCGCCCCTCACACTGTTTACCACCTCTGGCATATACTAATTCAGTGGTTAGGAACCCCAGATTTGGGGCTCCAGGTCTCACCTCTGATGTTTCAAAAACCATCCCCCAGTATCTATCCTACAACCAAGAGCCCCGGCCCCTAGAGAGCCCCAAAACCCCAGGATTCATTTCCTTTGCGTACTAACCGGCTTTCCCGGTTTTATTGCCGTAACCGGGCAGCTCCAACCCTGCTTGCGTCCCACCATCAGTCAGCTGATCCGGCTAGCCCCGCCCCTCCCGTTCTAGCCCCACCCACCAACGTTGGCACGAGCCAGCCCCTCGGGCGATACCTCCGCCGTCTCAGCCCGGCCCGCTAGGAGTCCTTTCTGCCCCGCGCGCAGCTCAGGGTTTCCAGCGTCCCCGGTCGTCTCACGCACCTGGAAGATTCTGAAATCCTCCTCCTGTGCATCCTGCCGTAGGCCGTGCTTCCAAGGGATGCGGAAGCGCGTGCGGCTCTCGTTCACCCAGGCCACGCCCTCCAGTTGCCCCAGGTCCAGCTGCGACACCAGCCAGGGCAGGATCCGTGGCTTTGGGGTTCCCATGGTCCGGCCTGCGCGTATAGGGCATTTTCTGGGCGCGACCGGCCTCCCCCGGACCCACCTGGCCTGGAGTTTCCGCACCCAGAACCCTCCCTCTCACGGGCCACGGCACAGGTCCTTCACCCATATTTTCGGGGGTACAAACAGGAAACCTCCTCTTCCCATCCTCCCATCTTCCCGAGAGGCTCCTTAATCCGCTAGGGTTCCTTCCCATATCCATGGCATACCCTTCCCCAGTGTCTTCAGTGCAGACCCTCCACTCTCTCAATTCCGCCAGTATAGACCTCCTCTCTCCCCGACATCATCGAAAGCAAGTATCCCCACTTTCAGGGTAGCATCCTCTTTCCCTAGTTATTTCAGTGCAGAATCGATTCACGTGTAAGCCTCTATCTCCTGCTATTTACCCCAGTGTAGATCCCCTTCCCCAGTCCCCCTACAGAAGATCCCCCGAAACATTTCCAACACAGAACTTCCATCCAATTCCTCCTCGACTGCCAGCCCCCCTCCTCCAGGACAGAGCACGCCTCAGGTTTCGGGAGTGAACTACACCCATGTACGGAGTCCATCCTTCCCTCTGTAGAACCCCTCAGTGTAGACGCCTCCTGTTTTCCTCTTTCCTCCCTACTTTTTCTAGTTTTTCTCCAGCCGACCTCCAGCGTCGGCCACTGTAGCTCCTTCCTTGCTCCACTTTCCCCAGAGTACACAGCCTGCCTTTCCACTCTCCGTGCAGACCCATCCTGTTTCCCGCTCCTCGCTCTCGGACGCCACTAACGCTCTCCCAGGCTCTTCCGCGTTACCTACGATAGAAGCTCAGGGCGTGCAGGGAGCTGGCGCCCACCCCTGTTTTGGGGCTCCGGATAGCTCTCAAACTCGAGGCTGCGCACCCCCTTTCCCGTCAGCTGAACTCTAGACGCTGAGGCTTTCTTTTCGATCGACTTCTTGAAATAAAACCAACTTTATCATTCTTTGGGTAACACACCCCGGAGCCGAACGGACGGCCCGCGGGGCCCGGGGCTGTCCCCGCCCCTATGCCCTTTTTTGGGTTTCCGGCCAGAGGCATGCTGGGAGCGTCACATGCAAATTGAGCGTGCATCCAGCGTTCCGCCCTTTCTTCGTTGGGCCAGTTACCGACCCGGCCCAGTGCGCAGGCGCGGGAAAGTTGAACTAATAAAGTTTGTACAAGTTGAGTGGAGGCGGCGGCAGGTTGAGTGGAGGAGGCGGCGGTGAGGCCCCGGACCAGGTCAGCGGGGTGTTGACGAGGGGTGGGGTAAGGAGGGAAGAGGAGCGGGCCAGGATCCAGTAGTGGGCACCCCAGTCCCGCTTCTCCGACATCCAAGGGTCCAGGGTCCTCTAGATTCCAGCAGGAGTCGGGGATTTGGAACTACACCTCACAGCAGGCTGCGCGGCGAAGAAGCGCGGACCGAGGGGAAGATTTGCCCTGAAGCCTCCTGGGATTGGTAGTTCCCGATGCTTTAAGGGTTTCAGTAGTTTGGCATATGCCTCTTATAGAATCCAGGAGTTGGGGCGCTAAGCCCCTTCTTCCTGGGAGACCTAAGGGTCTGGGGCTCCAGTTCCTTTCTCTCTAAGACTCAGGAGTCTAGGACCCCAGCTCCCTCCTCCTTTAGACCCACGAATCTGGGCACCCAGCCCCCCCACCTTTCCTTGGATCAAAGAGTCTTTACTGACCCCTCTTTCGTCTGAGGACTCAAGAGTCTAGGCCCCTAGACCGACACTTTCCAAAGGACCCAGGAGTCCAGGCCTTCCTTGGGACTCACAAGTCCTGGTCCCCAACCAAGCCTCCACTTCTTGCTAACCCCTTGGAGTCCAGTCCCTAGTCCCCTCTCTCACAGGTGCCTCCATGGCAGGCTCTGAAGAGCTGGGGCTCCGGGAAGACACGCTGAGGGTCCTAGCTGCCTTCCTTAGGCGTGGTGAGGCTGCCGGGTCTCCTGTTCCAACTCCACTCAGGTAAGAGGAGTTGCCCTTCTCCCCCAGGGGCCAGCATTTGAGGCTCCCTCCTAACTCTTGCTCCTGGTCTCAGTCTGTCTCCTCTCTTTATATCTGGCTCTATTCTCTGTTTTGGAGAGAGGTCCTCAGCGGGGGAGGGAGGGAGTTGGGGAAAGAGCCTGCTTGCAGGGGATCTTTGGTGGGGTCACTCTCTGAAGTCCTCTTCCCCAGAAGCCCTGCCCAAGAAGAGCCAACAGACTTCCTGAGCCGCCTTCGAAGATGTCTTCCCTGCTCCCTGGGGCGAGGAGCAGCACCCCCGGAGTCCCCTCGGCCTTGCTCTCTGCCCATCCGCCCCTGCTATGGTTCAGAGCCTGGTAAGAGATTTCCATGATCGTCTATGAAACTGGCAGAACACGGGATAAGGTGCTAGTTTAAGATCACTCAGGGGGTGGCTGTGTGGAGTCTCTAGCATCAGCCTTCAGGATGGAACCGTCCTGTCGTCTCCTCTCCCCAGTTAGATTTCTATCTGTCAATGCTGTGGGTTGGCTTTCAGAGAGCATTTGGTCCATCTGGTTGTCGTCTCTTTCCTTCCATAACTACTTCCCTGCCCCTAGGACTTTTGTAGCCAGGAATACCCCTGATAGAGGGGTAGGAGGGCTGGTTTTCAATTACATCTCCCTGGCTGTTTTAGTTGCGTGACTCTGGGGAAAATGCTTTCTCTTCCTTGCTCCCCTGTTTTTCCAATAGCAGAGTAGGAATTGGGGAGGAGGTCACTGGACTTGATCAAGGTGACCCACAAGTTTCCCCGTAGGTGTGAACCTGGACAGACTAGTAATGGCTGCTGCAAGTGCTAGCTTGAAAAGGAGTTCACAGCTGGGGAGAGGAAGTGTTTTGATCAATTGGTGATGTCTGAAGTGGGTGAGGGAAGGGGGATACTAACAGTAGTGTCTTGTGTTTGCCTTCCTTGGATGAGATCATCTTCGAGGTCTAGTTCAGCTCTGACAGTTTTTTGGAGACAGAGCTCTGTCACCCAGGCTGGAGTGCAGGGTTGCAATCTCGACTCATTGCAATCCCCACCTCCTGGGTTCAAGTGATTATTGTGCCTCAGCCTTCCGAGTGGCTGGGCTTGCAGATGCACTCCAGCATACCAGCTAATTTTTGTACTTTTAGTAGACACGGGGTTTCTCTATGTTGGCCAGGCTGGCCTCAAACTCCTGGCCTCAAGTGACCCTCCCGTTTCGGCCTCCAAAGTGCTGGGATTACAGACATGAGCCACCACACCCGGCCAGCTCTGACATTCTAAGTGCAGTTTGAGGATCTGATAAAATGAAAAGTACAAAGGTTTTGGCATTTTTTACCAAGTTTTCTCACTGGGACTCAGCTTACCCCATTATAAAATGGGAATCATTGCCACCTGCCACGGTAGTTGGGGGAAGGAGAGAATCCATAAGTTTCCAATGTCCTGGAAACCTGTCATTAACTCTTTTCACCCCAGGCCCAGCTACTCCAGACTTCTATGCCTTGGTGGCTCAGCGGCTGGAACAGCTGGTCCAAGAGCAACTGAAATCTCCACCTAGCCCAGGTGAGGCACGGAGGAGCCCCAGAAAAGGATGGGAGTAGGAGGATAGGGTTCTGCCCCCAGCCAAATTCTCTTCTGCCTCCAGAATTACAGGGTCCCCCACCCACAGAGAAGGAAGCCATACTGCGGAGGCTGGTGGCCCTGCTGGAGGAGGAGGCAGAAGTCATTAACCAGAAGGTGATGGGCGTCTGTCCCACCCCTTGGCAAGGACAAGAGTTGCGGAATGGTGGGGCACTGGGATCAGAAGCTGGATCTGTATTTTCTTTGGATGGTCAGGTGGAAAGAGGCTGGGACAAGGTTTCAATGAAGGGTTGAGGCTGGGCGTGGTGGCTCATGCCTGTAATCCCACCACTTTGGGAGGCCTAGGTGGGCAGATGACTTGAGGTCAGGAGATCGAGACCAGCCTGGCCAACACAGTGAAACCCCATCTCTACTAAAAATACAAAAATTAGCCAGGTGCGGTGGCACATGCCTGTAATCCCAGCTACTTGGAAGGCTGAGGTGGGAGAATCGCTTGAGCCCAGGAGGCGGAGGTTGCAGTGAGCCAAGATTGCACCACTGCACGCCAGCATGGGTGACGAAGAGAGACTTTTTTTTTTTTTTTTAATACAGAGTTTTGTTCTTGTTGCCCAGGCTGGAGTGCAATGACACAATCTCAGCTCACCGCAACCTGCGCCTCCTGGGTTCAAGCGATTCTCCTGCCTCAGCCTCCCAAGTAGCTCCCAATAGCTGGGATTACAGTCATATGCCACCACGCCTGGCTAGTTTTGTATTTTTAATAGAGACGGGGTTTCTCCATGTTGGCCAGGCTGGTCTTGAACTCCTGACCTCGGGTGATCCGCCCACCTCTGCCTCCCAAAGTGCTGGGATTACAGGCGTGAGCCACTGCGCCCGGCCGACTCTGTCTTAAAAAAAAAAGGCCGGGCGCGGTGGCTCAAGCCTGTAATCCCAGCACTTTGGGAGGCCGAGACGGGCGGATCACGAGGTCAGGAGATCGAGACCATCCTGGCTAACACAATGAAACCCCGTCTCCACTAAAAATACAAAAAAATTAGCCGGGCGTGGTGGCGGCGCCTGTAGTCCCAGCTACTCGGGAGGCTGAGGCAGGAGAATGGCGGGAACCCGGGAGGCGGAGCTTGCAGTGAGCCGAGATCGCGCCACTGCACTCCAGCCTGGGCGACAGAGCGAGACTCCGCCTCAAAAAAAAAAAAAAAAAAAAAAAAAAAAGAATGGTTGAACGACAGGAGTATGGTTAGGGTAGTACTGTACTGTAAATTAGTGGTTTTAATTGATTGTTAGAGGGGTGTGGCCTAAATTCAGAAGATGTGGCCATCAAAAACATCTAGAAGAGATTGACCAGGTTGGGGAAGTAAGGGAATGAATGTGGGGATGGGGGAGTGTCTAAAATCTTACTGAGCATAGAAGGGGCCTGGCTTACAATGTAGGGGAAAATGTACTAACAGAGGAGGCCTGGCTTGTGGCTGTGTCCTGGAATCTGATTGGCTCAGGAGCTTGGGCAAGGCACATGGTCCTCTAATACTGATTGAATGGTAGAGGGCAAGATTGTTGTAGACACTAGGCCCCTGGGAAAGGCTACCGGGGGTGTGGCTAGATTAACTCCATTACAATAGAGATTGGGCCTGATTGGCTCTTGAGGCAAGGGCAGGGGCGTGGCTTAGCGACAGGCGTTCTAGGCCCGTATCCCGAGGGTGGGGGTAGTTTGGCAGAGACCCTAGAGTCCGGCTTGATTGGCTAATATGGATGAGGGGTGGCCTAGAACTTTAGCGTCTAGAAAGATCCTGAACCGGGAAGTCACGCCTCCCAGCCCCCCCGCCCCGCCCCGTTGGTTGGCCCCAGGGGCGCTGCTGACGCAGACCCTGCCTTTTCCACCCTACAGCTGGCCTCGGACCCCGTCCTGCGCAGCAAGCTGGTGCGCCTGTCTTCCGGCTCTTTCGCCCGCCTGGTGGAGCTGTTTTGTAGCCGGGAGGACAACTCTCACCGAAGCCGAGCATGCCCCGGGCCGCCGCCTCCTTCCCCGGAGCCCCTGGCCCGCCTGGCCCTGGCCATGGAGCTGAGCCGGCGCGTGGCCGGGCTGGGGGGCACCCTGGCCGGACTCAGCGTGGAGCACGTGCACAGCTTCACGCCCTGGATCCAGGCCCACGGGGGCTGGGTGAGCCGTTGAAGCCTCTCTCTGCGGGCCTCATTTTACCCAACTGTCTTGTGATAGAGGTTCTTAGGTTCCCCTCAGACCTCAGGTATTCTCCCAGCTCCACTGCGTTCGTTCTGTGTTGAGCCCTTGCTGTATGCCAGGACTGCAGTGATGAGTGCGGATGCTATGCCTGGCGTCAGCGACTGGGTACACTAATACTGTGAGCGTGAAACCAGTGACTGAGATTACTCAGGGAGAGGCAGGGCGAGGTGGCTCATGCCTGTAATCCCAGAACTTTTGGAGGCCGAGGCAGGAGAATCATTTGAGGCCAGGAGTTCAAGACCAGCCTGGACAACATAGT